CAGACTTCTCACACCCTCACCACTCAGCTCACCTCCCACCAATTCTCACGCTTCAACACCGCGATATCCACACGCAACATCCACTTCCAAAATACACCCCCAGCTCACGGCCACCCAGCCTCATCCTCATAATATCCTGACCCGCTAGATGATCTCTTCTTCTTGTCCTTCTTCCCCTTCACAACCTCCTCGACGACGGGGCCTGGTCCCACCGATGCAGTACCAGCGACAATGCCTGTTGTTGACGCTGCCTCATCCTCAGTGGTATCGTCCCTATACCTATCCGCATCGTCTACAAACAAACTGGCATCCTCATCCGTGCCTCCAAAGTCTTCACTCTGCTTCCTCGACAGCCAAGCCGGCGTCTTCCACTGCCACTTCGGGATCGAGACATTCGGTGCAGCAACCTCGGGCAGTGAAACAATCGGCACCGTAATTGAAGGCGCAGAAACGGTCTCATACCATGGAATATCTGGTGTAGCCTCTGGTCTCAATGTGCCTCCGCAATGAGGGCAGTCAGGAGGCAGAACCTGCCACGCAGTGTACTGGATCAACCCATGGATAGCTAAGCCAGCAATTAGCTCCCTGATGGCCAAGTAAAAGTGAATACCGCTATCCTCTCGTCAGTATACGTTCTTCTTGCTGCAAGCATTTGGAATCGGAACTTACCAATTAACCAACAAAGGAATCGTCCCATAAGCAGCCAGCATAACCAATTCCGCCCTCCTCAAGTCATCCCTCGGCGCAGGTTCGGGGCTCGACACCTCACCATCCTCACCACCATCCTCCGCAGGCTTGCCATGGTGATAAGGTTTGCCAGTAATCGTCTCGATGACCGTCAACCCCAATACGACTAACAACCCAGCCGCCAATCCCGCATCCACTAAAAAGATCAGAATCCGATGCGTGAACACCGAGTCTTTCTCCTCCCCATCCCCATCCTCATCCTCATCAGAAGGGGTAATCCTCCCACGTTGGCCGTGCTGGCCGTGCTGTCTTCTGTGCCCCTCGACATGATCCCTATAGCCTCCCCCACTGACCACCCTCTTCTGTCTCCTCTCTTTCTTCTTCAACTGCATTAACAGGAACACCCCCACGCAGGCCGAGACAAAAAGCGGCGCGAGCCCAACGGCAGGAATTACATTTTGGGAGATCACGCCGTGAGCAATCAACAGCGGCAAAGCGGGGAGGAAAGAAAGCGCTGTGATGAGGCGGGGCGTGCGCTGCTGTGGGGATAGGCAGGATGGGTTGTGGTGCTGAGGCGGTCTGGGGTGATTGGTGGATGCCATTTTGACGATGTTGTAGCATCAACAGATGCTGCCCTCTTCCCTCACTTTTGCCATTCAGAAAAAGAAATGAGTTTGAGAGGAGAAAAACCGTTGGGTGGGAAAATATATCTGCCAGAAAGAGGGGTGATCGGTCAGGGAGGTTGGTGATAATGCACTTGGTGGTGCGGCGTCCTGCGTGGTGTGTTGTTTGGCCTTTCCAAGTGGGGGGGTTCCTCTTATCCGTGGGTTTTTGAGTGTAGGTAGGTCTTGGCATGGGACCCTTGGAGGGGTCATTCTGACGAGTTCTGGCCAATGGGCAGGGGAATGCTGATCACTGGTAGCGCTTGGTGCTGCTATGTTTTTCACGTGATTCTGTCTGCTGCGACTGCAAAAGGCGGAGAACAATGGCATCTTTCTCTTTGCCAATGGATGCTTGCTCCTTTTTAACCCCCAAAGTGGATCTTGCAAGAGCAAACAAAGGTTCATATCTCCAAGGTAACGATAAGGGGTGAGCTAACTGCAAACCAGGCTTCTATCTTACAAAGAACCCAATTACGAAACATATCATCAGACCTGTTGTATCCAAACACTAGGTACCTATCGTACACAACACCTTTCCTCGGTGCAATGGTCAACATCACCCCTTATACCACGCCAACCCCGAAGAAATCCACCCTAACAGTTGAAACAACGCGAACCAAGAACCAGCATCGGCCGCGACATCCTGCCACTTCATCGCCACATCCTGCTGCGACACCTGCCTCTCAAAGCTAGGGAATTGCACAAACAAGCTCAGAAAGCAGGGCCCCGATGCTCCTCTTGGATCAGATGTGTCGCACTGCAAGTCAATCGACGGAATAGTCGAGATAGACAGCTGGTAGTCGTAGGCTGGCGCATGACCCAACGCTTCACGGTAGTTCAGCCCAAGGTTTATGGCAGCCATACCGTTGGCGTTGATGAGGACCATTCGCGTGTAGCCGTTCTCTAGCGCTTCTCGGACCGTCAATGTAGGATCATAGACAGCGATCCAAAGGCTGGGAGAGAGGACGCGGGAGGTGTCGGCGCGGGCTTTGGAGGTGTCGTCTAGATATCTTACAATCAGCATGTTGCTTCATCTAATAGATGGGCTAGGTGGTTACGAACAGGTGAAGAAAGCCTGGGCGATCATTTGATACGTTGGCCTGGGCGATGCCATCGCGATGGACGACGTCAAAGTGAAGGCGCGGTAGCTCGTGTTTTGCCACTCAAAATTTTCGATCCGGTCACTCCATCTGTTGCCACATTGACAAGAACCAGTATACTCCGCTGCAGTCACGTCGCAGTCCGGAGCCGTCTCGTTGTGCCAGCCCAGAAAACATTTGGGCGGTGGGTCAACCTCGAGGTTAGCCTGCGACGTCCAGTCCACTCGTTGGAAGAGGGTGATGGATGGGAAATGCGCGTTGGCCTGCGAGGTTTGAGACTGGTTAGATGATAAACCGACGTGTTCAGGAGGGCTGACGCATACATACCACAGTATCTCGATTGAAGATGATGACATTGCGCGTTCTCTCAGGATCCCAAAAGGTCCAGTACAGAAACGGTAAGGCGAGAGTAGCAGCGAGCAAAGTAACAACAGTGCTGCCAAGGTTCTGGCTGTAGGCACTCTCCAGGTGGAACCACAGGGGCCTTTCGCTGTCACTGGGAGACGTGAAGAGCAGTAGGAAGGATACTCCGATAGTGCCAATAACTGACATAACCCATACACCAGAGAGAACGGCGATGATGACGCGTGACGAAGGTGCTGCTGAGATGACAAGCGCACCAGCGATGCTCAGCCAGGCTACCCAGCCAAGGACAAACCATCGGACACGATGGCTCCGCAGAATGGCTACTCGGTCGCTCTGCAGGGTGGCCATGTTGATCTGGCGGGAATGGGAACTGAAAAAACAAAAGGACAAACCATTAAAGCAAAAAGTTCGTCGACGGTGCCGTGGATAGGAGTGTTTGCTCACAGTACAGGACTTGTATAACCTTGCAATTTTGATGGCCGTCTAGGCTGGCCACCTTCTTCAGCTCCGAAATGCCGTCCAGGGGGCCCTTTATGATGGCCCGGTATTGAACACGAATTGAGCATGGAAGCAAGGTTAGAATTCTTCTATTGCCCTTTTCGGGCCACCAAAGATCCAAGACATAAGTGCATCAAGTTCCAAAAAGATTTTAGGGTTCTGCAGGGCCCTGCCAAATCACTAGACGCTCGCTTGTGAGTCGAGAAACTATTGCCCAAAGGACAATCTCGGCCTGGGTCGAACGCCACCGCTGAATAAGGCCACCTATGATAAGCAGCATTCAAGAACAGCCAAGTCGTTCTCCCTGCACGCCAAGAAATTGTTTCTTTTTCTCCGAGTCAGCACTGCGATCATGATGATGTGTTCGTAGTCATATCTCAGCTCGAAAAAAACGGCTGGCGGGAAATACTGACCACCATCCTGAAGCCATCGTTGCCAATTCCCAGCTATTTTGGTCTCCAGCCGCTGATGGCTTGTTGAGGCTGCGGCATCTTCCGTTCTGCTATCAATCACTTGAGCATCTGAATTGATTGGAACTGAGCAAGGCTTTAACGGTGGAGGATATAAAGCCCGTCTCTCTCAGTCATGCCTATGACTTCATTTCTTCCTCGACAGGACATCTCCAAACACCGAAACAAATCAAGCATCATGCGCACCTATCTTCTCTCCTTTCTCGCTGCTTCAACACTGAGTGTCACAGCCCAAAGAATCTTCATCAACCAAGTGCCCGAATACTCCGAACTCCCGCCCTGTGCCGAGGCCCCCCTAAGCAACGTCGTCCGCAACATGGTCTCCGGCTGCGGCGACGGCGGCAAGACAACCTCCTACAACTGCTTCTGCGCCTCCAGCTCAACCAAATTTGAGAGCATTATTAGCAGGGTCGTAGCGTCAAAGTGCTTGCCTGTCGAACCCGAAGCTACCGCTTCTGCTCTCGCCGTCTTTGGCAGCTACTGTCATCTATCCCCTCAAGCTGCACCGGCCCTGGCTTCACAGACGGCGGCAAGCCCCACTGAGAATCGCCCCCTATTTTCGAGTGAGTCAACAATCACAGCGCTCGAACTCTCGACTTTGCTGCTCATGACCGCGGGATCAGATGCGAGCAGTACTTTGGTGGCGGCAGCCTCGGCTGAGGATACTGTTGTTGGCAGCTCTGGAGGTTCGTCAGTGTGGCAATCACCGGCAAGGCTTTCGCCAACCCCGAGTAGGACGCAATTTGCCCCTATTCCTTCGGCGAGCCTTGCTTTGTCAGGAGCCCAATGCCTTGGTAGTCAGTGGTTGGCCTCCTGTTTGGTGCTATTGGGCTCAGGCATCGTTATGCTTTGAGGAATAGTTAGGGTGGTTGGCGTTGATTTGACGGGATTGGTGGAAGCTGGACTTACACACTTGAGGATTTGTTCTATGTTGCTTTCAGATTTTTGTTTACTAGACCATAGATCTTTGTAGTTTGTATGACCACACCGCAAGAGAACGGGCCTCCTCAACGTACTTTTCCACTAAGTCTCTGTCCACAAGCGGATGTAGTGAACATCTTTTGCCTCTCTAAGATCTCATGGCATCCACGGCGCGCCCATCTTGCATACAACCATCAAAGCCCACCTGCCATCTCGGGTCCTCGTGCAGCTTTTCCACACTTGTAGTGTCTAGCAAACAAAAAAGCAAAGGAAACGCAAAAGAACCAAAACAGTTGTGACAAGGGTGGGATTCGAACCCACGCCTCTTGCGAGACCAGGAATAACTCTAAGAGTTAAGTTCAAGTGGGCCTGAACCTGGCGCCTTAGACCGCTCGGCCACCTTGCCGCTATGGATGACGAAATTTATTGAAGATAGACATCAAGATGGGGGACAGGATGCGTTTGAAGCCAGCGGATACAATATGTTCAAAACGGAAAGGGAATTCCAGGACAAAGTGAAGATTTGAAGTAAGAGTCAAAGCCCTCCTTCTCCTTGGCGATACAACATCCACACTTGCGGGACTGGCAAAGCCGTTACTGTGTTCAAGGGCCTCGAACGAGGGGTTCGGAGTGTGCTTCTAGATAACGGGCATCCCGCCGTCATCGGTTCTTCCTTGAAATGATGATAAGTGCCCAAAGTGTCCAGTGTGTCGCTGACAGAACAACTATATGGGGGCTGAGACGACGTGAGCGTTTTATCTCAGAGTTAACAGGAAATTGTTCGGCTTGGGTTCGATCGAAGTTTTCAGAGTTCGGGCTTTGGGAGCTTCAGTCTCTTGCAGATTACTAGTACACTCATGTCAGTAATACTGCGATAGGCATGAGGGAGGGACGGTGAGAGAAGGACACACTCACAAAAGAGCAGGGCGGCTGGGTCTGTGGGCAGCATTCGAGCGCGTTCGTCGGGTCGCTCTCTCTGAATATCAGAAATCCCGAATTTCGATTGTGTCTTCGAAGTTCGATTTGGTCGATCGGAGGCCGTGGTCATGAATGAGTAAGAGTATTCCAGCTTGTTGGCAGTGAGAAATAGAAGACAGGGTAAGAGATGGATTTTTCGAAAGGGGCCGAGCGACTTGAGAGTTCGTATATCTGCGCAAGCTCCCAAAGGTCGATAGTTAGGCTTAGATCATACCTCACCGCATGGGATGGGATGGTAAGCTGCTGACGCGGGAGTTTTTCCAGGGCATTTTTCGAGGGTCAGTTCGTCTCGCCCGCGGGTTTCATAGGTGCCCATCATGCCTCACCAATGCCCACGCAAATAACTTGAGTAAGGCACAATCAGAGATCGGGACACTGATGGGGGGGGGGGGGGGGGGGGGTTTTTGGGGGGGGGGGGGGGCCCCACTAAGTTAAATAAAAAACAATTTATTGTGGATATGATAACCCCGGGCAATTGTTT